CAGACTTAAAAGTGGAAGCTTTTGAAAAATTCCTTTGTCTATTACTGAACCCTAGAGCACATGATACAGCCGGCACTGTTTTAAGTGGTGTAGGGGCAACAGTAAACACGATGGTGGGTTCGCAGGTCTTAGCGATGCATAGGCCAGCAGTTACATACTATCACGTCAGATGGTGAGTGCGTGAGGGCAAGTAAAGAAGAAGGCGGTAGGTGATGATGAAGTTGCTGTTTCAGATAATGTGGTGAGAGAAGGCATCTCTGAGGAGGTGGCATTTCTGCGAGCCCTAAATGCAGTGAGGGAGAATCTTGCAAATATCGTACGAAGGAAAGGAAGTAGCCAAGGCCCCCAGTGGGCGGCGAGCCAGCATGCTCCAGGGACAGCAAAAGGGAAGGTGGTGAGAGGTGAGTTCAGGGAGCAACCAGGGTCAGGGCATGGGCGGTCGCCAGGGCAGGGAGACCACGGCAGTAATTTTGGATTGCATTGGAACTGTCATCATAAGTCATTGGAAAATTTTGTCCCAAACACTGACATTTATTTGACTCGTGTTTTAGAAGGTAAGTCTGGCTGCTGTGAGAGAATTGGGAGCAGAGTGTGAGTAGACACGAGCCGTAGGGAAGCAAGCTCACCAGAAACTGAGTGGTGGGGCAGGAAGGAGATGAGAGCGGTGCGACCCAGCAGAGGTCTCTGTTTTCCCAGGATTTTGATGCCAAATGATGATGGCATTTGCTCAGGAACAAATGTGGTAAGAAAATGCTGGCTGATGGAAACCAACTGATGTGATTACAGTAGACATCTGCCCAGAGAGGATGAGGAAAAGAAAAACCAGAAGGGGAGGCAGGGAGGACAGTGCGTCTTCTGTGGGGTCCTCCACTAGCACACGGAGCAGACAGAGGACCCGCTCCGCCAGCTCTCCCGACTCCTGAGGGCCGGCCAGTGACAGGTCCCATCACCTGAGTCTCACTTCTGGTTCATCCGGTGGCCTCGTTTAAAGGTCAGGCTTTGGTCCTTCAAACCATTGCCTGAACAATGCCATATTACTTTATTGGTTCTAAAAGTCACCTCTTTGTACTCAAGATTTTTCATGGAGGTTAGCACCTTCATTTCTTTCTTTTTAAAAAAATATATATTTTATTGATTTTTTTACAGAGAGGAAGGGAGAGGGATAGAGAGTTAGAAAGATCAATCAGCTGCCTCCTGCACACCCCCTACTGGAGATGTGCCCGCAACCAAGATACACGGAATCGAACCTGGCACCCTTCAGTCCGCAGGCCAATGCTCTATCCACTGAGAGAAACCAGTTAGGGCAGCACATTCATTTCTAATTCACAAGTGCTGTCCCCAGGCCGTGGAGCAGCTACTGAGACTCTCAGATAGCCTCCAGTTTATGCTGAAGGGCCGCCACTCACACTAAGTGGTCACTCGTGATATTCAGTCCAGCTCCTACTGCCCTGCTTATGGTGGTTTCTCACAAATAAACATCCCCAAAATATCCTGTTGATGTGAAGTCTGACAAAATTAAAGATGTGGTAGCTTTGGAACTCTGTCATTTTCTTTCTTTAACATGACATAATTTTATTTTTAAAAAACTATTTCCAAAAAAAAAAAATAGTGAAGAAAAACATTGTTTTAGGTTTTTGAAAATCTTTTTTTTTCTTTTTTCAGTTTCAATGTGACTTCTTCATATTCTTAGAGAACTTCTGTGTAGCTAGATTTAATGGTTTCTCTGTAGTTTAGTTGTAATTTTTTAAAATATATTTTTATTTATTTTATTTTTATATATGTATATTTTGTTGTTTTTGTTAATCCTTACCTGAGGATATTTTTCCATTGATTTTTAGAGAGAGTGGACAGGAGGGAGGGAGAAAGAGAGGGAGAGAAACATCAATGTGAAAGAGACACATTGATTAGTTGCCTGACCGGGCCTGGGTATACTGGGGCTAGGGATCAAGCCTGCAACCGAGATACGTGCCCTTGATCGGAATTAAACCTAGAACCCTTCAGTCCACAAGTCGGTGCTCTATCCACTGAGCCAAACTGGCTAGGGCTGTTTTTATTTATTTTAGAGAGAGAGGAAGGGAGACGGAGAGATAGAAACATCAATGAGAGAGAAGCATCTACCGGCTGCGTCCTGCAGGCCCCCTACTGGGGATTGAGCCTGCAACCCGGGCATGTGCCGTGACTGGGAGTTGAGCCTGTGGCCTCCTGGTTCATGGACCAACACTCCACCACTGAGCCACACCAGCTGGGCTAGTTGTCATTTTAATGTGGTTGTGGGAGGTTTCAAGTACGGTGCCTGTGATTACCTACACTGCCATCTTGACCGGAACCTCCGTCACTTCTCAAAGACTGTAAATCACTTACAATTTCATGGTCTAAATAAGGGTGTATATACCATGGGTGTATACAAAGTAAACGTATGATATTGATCCCTTCAGGTTTAACATATCAAGCATGGGTGCAGAACACATTTTAAAAATATATTTTATTGATTTTTATAGAGAGGAAGGGAGAGGGATAGAGAGCTAGAAACATCGATGAAAGAGAAACATCGATCAGCTGCCTCCTGCACACCTCCCACTGGGGATCGAGCCCGCAACCAGTGTACATGCCCTTGACTGGTATCGAACCCAGGACCCCCAGTCCATGGGCCAACGCTCTATTGACTGAGCCAAACTGGCAAGGACAGCAGAGCACATTTTACATTATTGTACTTTGGGCCTAGCTGGTTTGGTTCAGTCATCGGCCTTCGGACTGAAGGATCCTGGGCTCGATTCCAGTCAAGGGCACATGCCCGGGTTGCGGGCTTGATCCCCAATAGGGGGTGTGCAGGAGGCAGCCAATCAATGATTCTCTCTCATCATTGATGTCTCTATCTCTCCCTGTCCCTTCCTCTCTGAAATCAATAAAAATATGTTTAAAAAAATAAAATAAATATATTTTAAAAAATTATTGTACTTTGTTATGCACACTGTTTGAAAAGACGTTGTTACGCGCAGCCTGCATGAGGCTCTGTGTGGACCAGCTATCAGGCCTCGCTTGGGGGCTGGCAGTGGGGCCCTGGGATGAGGCAGCAGTCACTTGCTGTGACTGAACCAAATGCTTTCCAAAGGTTGCGGCAGCGGACAGCAGCTCACAGTGCCCTGCTGAAGAGTCTTTGTAAATTAATAGGAAAAACATGGAAACACAATAAAAAAAAATGGGTCTAATATGTAAGTAGATGATTCTCCAAAAGTACACCAATAATTTTTAAAATTGTTAAAAATGGTCAGCCTAACTGATAATGCAGATATGCACATTAAAACAACGTGGAGCATCATTTCTGGTCAGATATAGATAAGCACTAATGTTGAGAAGAGTGGAAAGAAATGTCCAAGCACTGTAGCAGAGGGAGGTCGGCGCACACGTCGGCAAAAGCACTTTGCAAATCCATTCTAGGCCCTTGAAGTCCACACATGTTCTTTGTTCCGGGAATTCCCCGTCTAAGACTCACAAGGAAAGTTTTTTAATTACAGAAAATTGTATACAAACATGACCTGTAAGCCCTTTATAATAGCAAATATAATTGAAAACCACCCAACTGTTTACAAATAGGAAATTGGATAAATAAGCTATACTGTATCCATATCATTCAATAGTAGGCAGCCATTTAAATGAGGTCTTAGCTATTTGCTTTGGACAGTTCCCCAAGTTCCTGCCGTCTGCCCAATACCTAGGTTCTCCTCCGAATGTGCCATCATAAGTTAACCTGTTGGGGACGTTTAGTGATTTCCAAGTTCTTTTCCCTTTGGACAGCACTCAAGCGAGAATTTCCGTGAACACTCAGAAGCACACTAATGACTAGGCAGCACCCCGACGGGCAGCTCCAAGCTGGGCCTCATCTGGGGATGGCGGGCCGAGCCGTCCACAGCTCGCTGCCCCCGCAGCTCCCCCAGACCCAGAGGAAAGGATCCCAACCCCCGGGACCTCTTGTTTGTATCAGAATGTTCATGTTTATCTTCTCTGCAGTCCCCACAGACGAGCCCAGAAACTGTTCAGGGAGACACTTGCTCTGGGAGAACTAAGTCCCCGCGGTGTTTGCGGGCGGCCGCACCACAGGAGACAGGAGCAGAGTTTTTGTCTAGGAATTACAAACTGTCCAGGGAGGCTGAGGATGCTAGTCAGGCATTCTCTGCTTTTCTGACAATGCTTTGTATACAGGCCAGTGAGGCGACCCAAGTGGGCCCTGGGCATGATACCACGTTTACTGCCGCGGACCCATTCCCGTGGGCTTTGGTGGGTTTGCCCCACCTTCAAACCCAGTTTCTAGCCTGAAATAGGGAGACCAGGGGAAGGAGGTGGGTGACAGCTGTGTGGCTTTGTTTTGACAGAAGAACCAAAGTGGCAGCAGGACCCTAAAGTGGCGACTACTTAGGACTCCGGTGGCCAGTAATGAAACCGCGCAGCTGGAGCAGGCTGGGGCTGCGTGGGGTGGGTGTGCCTGGCAGCCATGTCCTTTGACGGATGTCCCTGTGCATCCATGACAGGCTCTGCAGCTGCACAAGCAGAGGAGAAAGCCACTCTCCTGGGGGGCTCTGTGGGCTGGGGGCTCAGCACCCGAGTCGTCCAGGGCAGGACTCCTTTCCTGTGACTGATCTTGGTGCTGGTGGAATAACCGTGCGGCCTGTGGGAGGTTGCGAAGGGTCAGACAGGAGCCAGGGCTGCAGAGACCAGGTGGCTCCAAGCCACACTCTGCTTCTTTGAAAATGCCTTTCAGCCAACATTTAAGACTTCAAGATTATAATGTGGCCCTAGCCAGTTTGGCTTAGTGGATAGAGCGTCCGCCTGTGGACTGAAGTGTCCCAGGTTCAATTCCGGTCAAGTGCACATACCTCAGTTACAGACATCGATGTTTCTCCATCTCTCCCCCTCCCTTCCACTTCCTATAAGAGTCAATGAAAAAAATAATCTCAGGTGAGGAAAAAAAGATTATAATGTCTTTCTTTTTTCTCTCTCTCGTGTAGTTAAAAGCCACTGTACAACCCGCCAGAGTCTGGCCTTCTTGTTGCTGTCACATGGTTCCCTGGCTGTGGCCTTTCGTCCCCCTGCCTTGCCTTCAGCGGTGTCATTCTCGTTCAGCCCGAGGCTACGGGCTGCCGGAGGCTGGTGCTCCCTGTCCTCAGACCCTCTCAGATCAGATGACACCCTAGGTCCCCATTTTCTCAAAGGTCTGTTGCCTCCCACCGCTGCTGGTACCAATACTGTAAAAGTCAGGGTTTTAATTACCAAAAACAAAAAATAAAACAATCCACCATGGCTACTTTAAGCAGAAGAAGACACCGCAGGAAAGGATGTACTGCAGACATCAGGTGACCGGGGACGCACTGCGAGGGCCCAGGAAGGGGTCTGAGGCTGCACTTCCTGCAGCCCCTCTCAAAGCCGCCCCCAGCCCAACCTCCGCCGAGAATGAGTGTGGAAAATCGTCTTCTCCAGGCATCACTGCTCCAACACGGAGCCACTACCACTGCAGCCACAGGAGCCGGATGGCACCCCGCCCGCAGCATCAGCGGGTGGAGTCCCGCACGCACGGCGTGTTCATCAGCTGGTCACTGTCAGGTCAGCTAGCCACGCTCCTGCAGAGAGAACGGGAATTTGGGTTCTGCCTCTGGGTGGGAGAGGCACATTCCACGGTGTGTGATTTCTCCAACTGTAGAATGACATTCAGAGAGTGATGGGAAGTCCCACATCGGGCAGATGTCCACCCCAGAACAGACGTAGAGTAGCTCCCGTCAGCGCCGCTGGGCTGTCATGGTTTATGCCGGGGCGGACTGTGCTTCAGAAGACAGGCCTCGGGGCTGCTCTCCCCAGCAGGGCCCTGGGAGGCAGGCTTCAGCCTGTGGAGATGGTGCCGCGTAGTGAGCGCCTGCATTAGGTCACGTCCGCAGCGCCAGCTCTGGTATGCCACACCTCGCTTCGTGTAAACCCACGATCCCATGCCAGTGAGGGACAGCAAGCCACGATTGGCACCTGCCACTACCCTGGCACTGCAATTTGTCCACAGAAGGCGTGGACCTTTTCCTCTACAAGTTTATGGCCAAGATCAACAACGATGCCTAGATAGGAGCCCTGGGGAAGTGCACGTGCCAAGATGTGAGGAAATGGACCGCTCGTCACTGACATCACCCCAACAGTGAATTTAGTGATGGGAGTTGCATGTTGAGAAGAAGTAAATACTCTTCCCCAGTTATGGAGCATATGGGTCACGTTCATGATGAGGAACAACCTGGAACCCTGAGCCAGTCATCTTGCTGAGGGGCCAGGGCTGGAAGTCCAGCCGTGGGAGCGTGACAAGCACATCAAGATGACAGTGCAGCCCGGCTGACCTATAAACCAGGGGTTCACGGTTCGATTCCCAGTCAGGGCACATGCCTGGGTTATGGGCTCCATCCCCAGTAGGGGCCATGCAGGAGGCAGCTGATCAATGATTCTCTCTCATCATTGACATTTCTCTCCCTGTCTCCCTTCCTCTGAAATCATTAAAAATATATATTTTTTAAAAAGGTAACATGGCATGTTCTGGAAGCATGAAAGGGGTGCGGGGGGTGAATGCAAGACTACCAGAGCAAGAGAAGTTAAAAGGCAGAGGTCAGAGTCGCTGAGTAGGCTGCTGAGGAGCCATTACCTGAGAGGCAGCGGAAAACTCCCTCTCCACGTAGCAGTCCAGGCCCGTGCCCTAAAACTGCCCTGGGCTATTTCAGTAGACTCACATCACCAGTGACATGGGTGTTAATATTTTATGGCTCTAACTTGCACTTCTAAAAGTTCTAATTAATCTCCAAGATAAAAACTGGCATGCAGGCTGGTACCAATGAGAATCACAGCCTCCGTGCCGTGTCTGTGCCAGCTCCTCTGGGGCCCTGCACCAGTGCCCTCCCTGTCTCAGCTGCATAACGGGGCCAGTGATTAGCCTTTGGAAGGGAAGCCACACTTCCCGCTGGATACCACTTGCTCACTGTTAGTAATTAATTGATGGATTAGCAGGTCCTCTAGCCCTGGCTAGTAAAGACCTCCTCAAGGCTCTCTCCCCTCCAACCCACCCCCATACCCTGGGAGAAGAGTTTCCTTAACCTCCTTGAAAGCAGGGCTACATCTTAGACATTTTTTGGTAACTCGCTTAGTGCCCTGCACAAAGGAAACACAGAACAAATGGATGGCTGCACGGATACATAGAGAGACAGGCACATGGAAATAGGTAATATACTTCCTATTTTACTCCCTTGTTATAAAACTTCTCAAACTTTAGCTTAAAAGAGAACTTAAGCCCTGGCTGGTGTGGCTCAATTGGTTGAACATTGTCCCATGCACCAAGAGGTCACTGGTTCGATTCTCCATCGGGGCACACACCCAGGTTGCTGATTGATGTTTCTCTCTCTCTTTCCCTCTCTCTTCCTCTCTCTCTAAAAATCTATGAAAACATTTTTTTTTAAAAAAAGAGAAAACTTAATGTCACTCGATTCAATTTCATGTTAAGAATAAGGGAACAGGTTAGCGAATACATACCTGACCTTGGCTATTAAGAATGTAAGTCTTCACAAGAGAGGAAGGTGCATGGTCTGCCTACCTTGAGCCCAGTGTGGATCCTGCCAGATAGACTGACAGTCTATGGGAGGTGATCGGAAAATGAACCAAAATAAGGAAGCGGCAAGGGATTGAGGGACAATCATTCAGGAAGGAATACCCTGGCTCAGGGGCAGCATGAGGAAAGGTGAGGCTTGAGGAAACTAGTTTGGTGGTTTTTAAAAACTTAAACATATACCACCCAACTCCATATGCCAGCCATTTTACTCCTCCCCACTGACCCAAAAGAAATGAAAGCATTTGCCCATACAAAGACTTGCACACTATTCATAGCTGCTCCCTTCAAAATTGCCAGAGTTTAGAAATAACCCAAATGTCCTTCTAAAGGTGATGAGTAAACTGGTACATTCCTCACTGAAAGCCAGGCAACAGTGGGGTGAATCCCAATGTAAGCAGGTGAAGTGAAAGAAGCCAGTGTGAGAATCCATTCTGTACAGTTCCATTTGTGTAAATTTCTAGAAAATTCTGACCTGTGGTTACCTTGGGACATAACTAGGAGCATGGTGTTGGGTGAGCATGGAGGGAGGCAGTAGAGGTGGGTGATAAAGGCACAAGGGAACTTGGAGGTGGTGAATATGCTCATTGTCTTGTGTTGACAGTTCACAGTATACATATGTATCCTTTGAGCATGTGTAGTTTGTAGTATGTCAGTTATGCCTCAGTGCATCTATCCTATATAATAAAAGCCTAATATGCTAAGTGCCAGTCGTCTGTTCAACCAATCAAAGTGTAATATGCTAATGATATTCTAAGGCCACTCAACCGCTCACTATGACATGCACTGACCACCGGGGGCAGATGTTTCAATCAGTAGGTTAGCTTGCTGCTGGGGTCCGGCAGATCAGGACTGAGTGAGACCAGCTGGGCATGTCCTGGAGCCCTTCCATGGTCCCTCCCTGGCTGGCCAACCTCCTGCGTCCCTCTCCGGCTTCGATTGTGCACCGGTGGGATCCCTCAGCCTGGCCTGCACCCTCTCACAATCTGGGACCCCCCTAGGGGGAAGTCCGAGAGCTGGTTTCAGCCCGATCCTGCTCAACACAGGAGCTGCCCCTGGTGGTCAGTGTGCTCCCACAGGGGGAGCGCTGCTCAGCCAGAACCCCGGCTCATGGCTGGCGAGTGCAGCGGCAGTGGTGGGAGCCTCTCCTGCCTCCGTGGTAGTGCTAAGGATGTCCAACTGCCAGCTTAGGCCCGCTCCCCACTGTCAGTCAGACATCCCCCGAGGGATCCCGGACTGCGAGAGGGTGCAGGCTGGGCTGAGGGACAACCCCCCTGCCCCCCTGCCTTGAGTGCATGAATTTCATGCACTGGGCCTCTAGTTTTAAAATAAAACCTACCATTGGAATGCTTTGTGGCTTTTTCATGCAAGCCAGATTGTCATTCCAGCCCATGGCCTCGTTTACTTTGGAGTTGTAACCTGAATGTAGTTGCTAGCCCTGTTCCCCAATCCCAGTGCTACCTGCATTTCCTAGTGTTGAGACCAGGCTTATGCTGCATCCCCCAGTGCAGAGACTTGGAGTCCTCATCAGGGCAGCACGTCCTTCAGCAGGGATGGCCTGGGCACAATGGGCTCCACCTTGGCTCCTGGATGGTTTAGCCGTTCCAGCTGCAGGCGGTCGCTCTCAGGAGCACTCGTCTGAAGGGAACAGTCTTCGCTCCCTGACAGAGGGGGCTTGATCAGCTCCATTTCAGGAAGTGCCCAGGCTTGGGAGCCTTTCTGTCTTTCCCACCCCTTTGGAAGTGGCGAGGTTGCCTACGGTGTTGGCTGGCAAGGCAGAAGAATGAGCACTACTGGGTTCTTCTTCTTTCTTCTTTCTTCTTTCTTCTCCTCCTCCTCCTCCTCCTCCTCCCCTCCTCCTCCTTCCCTCCTCCTCCTCCTCCTCCTCCTCCTCCTTCCCTCCTCCTCCTCCTCCTCCTCCTCCTCCTCCTCCTCCTCCTCCTCCTCCTCCTCCTCCACCTCCTCTACCTCTTTGAGCCTCTGATATCTAGGCAGTGCTGCCAAGATGAAAGGGCGGTACCCACCCACCTTCCTCTCCACAGGTACCTATCAGATTGAATTGCTTTATGAGTGTTGTCTCCTTTCATGTACACTTTAACCACACTTTCTCCTGATGAAAAGTTTGGGAAACCATATGATAGCCACACAGGTAACATTTCTTCCCCTTCACTGACCCCCTTTCCCATTCATGCAGAATTTGGGAAGTCAGGCAGAGAGCAGCCTCATCTCCCTTCCATTTGTCTATAAATTCATCAGAAGAAAAAACAGAAAACATACATCTAAGAGACTCCCTTGAGGTTTTTAAAGAAGTCAATGAGGCGAGTTTTCATTCCAAAAGAAGTGAGAGAGAAGGGATGGTTACTTAAGCAGTGAACGTGAGATCTAAATAGGATTAGACTCTTCACTTGCACCAGCTCCAGAAACTTCTTCCCAACAGGTAATTGCATCATGATGTCCATCATTCCTCTAGTGACTCCACCCAGGGACATAGAGCTTGGGGGACCAGGCATCTGGTCCTTGTGGCAAACAGGCTTCGAATCCCAGAGAGGACCAGGGCCCCCCCCCTCCTCCTCCTCCTCTTAAAGAATACCCTTCAAGAAAGAAAACAAAACAAAAAGACTACCCTTCAACAACATTTCATAATACTGGTTTAGCGGTGATGAACTCCTTTAGCTTTTTCTTCTCTGCGATGCTCTTTATCTGACCTACAACTCTAAATGAGATCTTTGCTGGGTAGAGTAATCTTGGTTGTAGGTCCTTGCTATTCATCACCTTGAATATTTCTTGCCAATCCCTTCTGGCCTGCAAAGTTTCTGTTGAGAAATCAGCTGACCGTCGTAGGGTACTCCCTTATAGGTAACTAACTGCTTTTCTCTTGCTGCTTTTAAGATTATCTCTTTATCCTTAACCCTTGGCATTTTAATTATGATGTGTCTTAGTGTGGGCCTCTTTGGTTTCCTCTTGTTTTGGACTCTCTTTGCTTCCTTGACTTGTAAGTCTGTTTCTTTCACTAGGTAGGGGAAGTTTTCTGTCATCATTATTTCAATATTTTGCTCTCTCTCTTCTTCTGACAACCCTATTTTGCAAATGTTGGTACATGTCTTCTGCAATTGGTAGAATGGCCTTGTGTAGTAGGTGTCCTGTAGAGCCCAGTGGCTCAGCCTCCACAGTCACCTGAGCTGGGCACTCTAGGTGTGCCCCTGTGTAGGCTGTGTGCACAATCTTGTAGTTGAGCCTTGATTGCTATTGGCAGCACTGGGAGGAATTGACTTCCAGGCCAATTGGCTGTGAGGACCAACTATGACTACAGTGGAAGAGCTCCTATACAGGAGACACCCCTATGGAGAGGACTTGCGTCAGTGAGGCTTTGGTGCTCACCGAGTCTGCCACTTGAGTGTGTTGCTTTTGGATGTGTAAAGTTGTAATCTGGCATGGTCTGATGCTGTCCATCCAGTGCATTGGCTCTGGCTCCTCCTAGGAGGTGCAAAGTCAGCCACTGCCTGGGGTCACCAGGCAGGAGCTACAGAGAGATCTGCAGATGGCTGCTACTTGTATTGGGCTTGGAAGTGCCCAGGCAAGGTCCAGCTGTGAAGCAAGGCAGGCTGGTGCTAGTGCCAGGTCTTGGGCCTTTTACTGATAGGATAGGGGCATGCTGACATCAGCTGCTGCTTTTTTAATTTTTTATTAAATCTTTATTGTTCAGATTATTACAGTTGTTCCTCTTTTTTCCCCCCATAGCTCCTCTCTACCCAGTTCCCACCCCACCCTCTGCCCTTACCCCCACCCCCCACCCCACTGTCCTCACCTATAGGTGTATGGTTTTTGTCCAGTCTCTTCCCACAGCCCCCACACCCCTTCCCCCCCTCTTGAGAATTGTCAGTCCACTCCTTTTCTATGCCCCTGATTCTATTATATTCACCAGTTTATTCTGTTCATCAGATTATTTATTCACTTGATTTTTAAATTCACTTGTTGATAGATATGTATTTGTTGTTCATAATTTTTATCTTTACCTTTTTCTTCTTCTTCCTCTTAAAGATACCTTTCAGCATTTCATATAATACTGGTTTGGTGGTGATGAACTCCTTTAGCTTTTTCTTATCTGTGAAGCTCTTTATCTGACCTTCAATTCTGAATGATAGCTTTGCTGGGTAAAGTAATCTTAGTTGTAGGTTTCTGCTATTCATCACTTTGAATATTTCTTGCCACTCCCTTCTGGCCTGCATAGTTTCTATTGAGAAATCAGCTGACAATCTTATGGATACTCCCTTGTATGTAACTAACTGTTTTTCTCTTGCTGCTTTTAAGATTCTCTCTTTGTCTTTTGCTCTTGGCATTTTAATTATGATGTGTCTTGGTGTGGTCCTCTTTGGATTCCTTTTGTTTGGGGTTCTCTGTGCTTCCTGGACTTGTAAGTCTATTTCTTTCACCGGGTATGGGAAGTTTTCTGTCATTATTTCTTCAAATAGGTTTTCAATATCTTGCGCTCTCTCTTCTTCTGGTGCCCCCATAATTCGAATGTTGGTACACTTGAAGTTGTCCCAGAGGCTCCTTACACTATCTTCATATTTTTAGATTCTTTTTTCTTTTTGCTTTTCTGGTTGGGTGTTTTTTGCTTCTTTGTATTTCAAATCTTTGACTTGATTCTTGCGATCCTCTAGCCTGCTATTGGATCTCTGTATAATATTCTTTATTTCAGCCAGTGTATGCTTAATTTCTAGTTGGTCCTTTTTCATATCCTCGAGGGTCTCACTAGATTTATCAAGGGCCTCACTAA